GGGGGGGGGGGAATGCAAGACTAGAAAAAAGCATCCTGATTTTGTTCCATGTAAATCTTAACCCTTTACAGAATGGGGACTTCGGCATTTTTGATCTGATCAACTTGGAAGGCTCTGTGTCCCGTTATGAAACAGACACATTCCTGTAGGAATGGAAGGTGACAAAGAAAATAATTGAAGAGATTGCTGAGTCCCCAGACCCACCTCCCAGACCCAAGCCAGTCAAAATGAAAGTGAACAGGTACTTGCAATTCTCTCTTCTCAAGAGGCTTCATTGCCTCACAGCAATACTTTTCCCTTTGGACACAAACTTGCCAGCTCTGAAGGATTTGGGTTTTCTGACCTAAAGGAAATGTTAATATTGGGATTATTCTAGTGGCAATTATGCAGCAGAATATGTGCTATTACTTAAGGTGCTCTGCATTCGTTATCCTGACTTTGAATTCTGAGTATTGCCTTGGCTAGAATAAATATTATGCAATAATCTTGGCTGAGAACTGTCTTGTGGGGACTATTACTTCTCTCGATCTCTGTCTCCATCAGATGATCCTTAGCAAAGTTTTTTTTTAATTGCATAGCAGAAGAAAGATAATTTCCATTGCTCTGTGTCATCTTTTTCAGGATGTTACAGCCCATGCCCAAGCCAGAAAACAGAACAGTAGTTCTGGTGAACAGCCCTCGACCCACAACCCCTCTACAGAGACCGATAACTCCTGTGCTTTCGGAACCACTGACACCTGCTATAGTTCCTGTACCACACACAGGCCCAGTATTGCCAGGGCCTTTACAGCCCACCACGCTCCCTGCCTCAGTGTCTCTCCCTGTGTCTATCCCGATGCCTCCTTCACCTGTGACCATGTCAGTACCAGTGCCGCCTCCTACCAAACCACAGACCCCAACTGTAGTGCCTACTTTGAGCCAGAACAACCCAGCTGCTACTCTGCTGCAGAGCCAGGCCTCTGTTCCTCAGGGTGAGGTTCCGGATTTTGGGGGGGAATGAAGAAAGGGGATGTGGTGGGAAGCTGAGCTCTGTTGCTTCTTATCTTCACATTTACTTTTAAAGTTGTTTGCATGAAATGTATCTGCACCTCTTGAGCTTATTTTGAAGTAGAAATAATAAGTTTTCTTGTTTGACTTTTAAACAAGTAGCCCTTTTGGTTGCAAAATTATTTTAGTATTGGGGTCGCTTATGGTAGTATCTTACTATTTTAAAAGGATAGCGCTGCAGGTCTCTAACCTTGTTCTCTTTCCACCCCCCACAGTGCTGCCCTTGGCAATGACTGCAGCTCAGCTGGTCCCAAATACTCCCCGGCTTCTCCTCTCACCACCTCCTGTTTCTCCTACCACAACCACCGCCTCCTCCCTTAAGGCTGCACCAGCCCCGGTCCCAATGGGGCAACAGCCCCCAGTTAGCTTGAGTGCCACCCCAGTGCGACAGCAACCACCCATTAATACATTGAGTATTGCTTCTGTCCAACAGCAGCCCCCCATCAGCACCCTGGGCATTAGTTCTATGGCTCAGCAACCACCCACCAACTCCCAATCCATTAATACACTTAGCATATCCCCCATTAACACTCTGGGGGTGTCCCCTGTAGTGGGGCAGCAGCCTCCACCGACCAACACTTTGGGCCCAGGACCTGCAGGGACTACTGCTCAACAATCCACCAGCTCCATTGGGGGCATGGTGAAGCCCATGAACATTCATTCTGCTATACATACCTTGCCTGGATACAACTTTGCAGCAGCAGCTGGAGGTGTGCAGCAAAGGCTTTTGCTGTCCCCGGATATGCAGGCACGATTGCCTTGTAAGTATTAAGGAGCCAGCAAAACACAGGCAGCCACCATGATAGTTTGAAAATCTAACCCTCTTTTTCCTCCCCCACTGCAGCAGGTGAAGTGGTCAGCATTGGGCAACTTGCCTCGTTGGCTAATCGGCCACTCCAAGGTGCCCCAGGCAGTAAACCCCTCACATTCCAGATCCAAGGCAACAAGCTTACCTTGATGGGTACCCAAGTTCGCCAGGTCACTATGCCTCAGCCAGCCCAACAGCTGCCAAGTAGGTAAACCCCAGTCCTTAGCAGCCCCAATGACTCCCTTGTCCTCTGTCTTGAATAAGTTAGATTTGTTTATGGTAGAGAAGAGCAGAGTAGAGTAGGCAATTTTTTTAAAAAAAATAGGTAGATAGAGAGATAGGGAGAGAAAGAGAGAAATAGGTAGGGAGAGAGAGAGTAGTTGGTAGGTAGCTAGATAAAGGGGAAGAGAAATAGAGATAGAGAAATACAGTAGGTAGGTAGGGAGAGAGATGGGTAGGTTGGTAGGTAGAGGGTAGAGAGAGAGAGAAATAGAGGGAGAGAAATACTGTAGATAGGTCGGGAGAGAGAGAAGAGAGTAGGTAGGTACGTAGGTAGGTAGAGGGGGAGAGAGAGAGAAATAGAGGGAGAGAAATACTGTAGATAGGTCGGGAGAGAGAGAAGAGAGTAGGTAGGTACGTAGGTAGGTAGAGGGGGAGAGAGAGAGAAATAGAGGAGGGAGGGAGGGAGAGA